AAGGCTGGCGGTTCAAACCCACCAGCCACTCCTTGGAAGGAAGATGGGGCAATCTACTTCCGTAGTGATACTGCCTCGGAAACCCAAGGAGGGGTGGTCACTATGAGTTGGGTCTGACTCCACGGTACATAACAACAACAAAAAGGCATTGAGTGTGCTTGATGCTATGAAAAGACATTTCGAAGAGTTGGTTCCATTAAGAGGGACTGAAATGGGACTCAAATTCAGGTGTACTGATTTCTGTTTTTGTATTTTATCCAGGAAACCATAAGTGGACTTTCAGTACCTGTTATTAATTACCATCCTTTGAAAGCTTACTGTGTACCAGGCACTATGCTATGAGTTTTATTTACGTTCTCTCATAATGCTCATATACACCTTGAGTTTGACACTGTTTTCCCCATTTTACAGATAAGAAGCTGAAACTTAGGTCAAGTAGCTAGATTTAAAAAAAAAAAAAAAAACCTCACTGCCATCAAGTTGGGTCCGACTCATAGTGACCCCTCCTTGAGTTTCCGAGGCAGTATCACTATGGAAGTAGATTGCCCAATCTTCCTTCCGCAGAGTGGCTAGTGAGTTTGAACTGCCAGCCTTCTGGTGGTTAGCAGTCAAGTGCCTTAGACATTACACCACCAGAGCTCCTGGCTAGACTAAACGCAGTGCAAATGCAACCACTGCCATGGAGTCGGATCCGACTCATGGCGACCCCTCCTTGGGTTTCCGAGGCAGTATCACTACGATAGTAGATTGCCGAACCTTCCTTCTGAGGAGTGGCTGGTGGATTTGAACCGCCAGCCTTCTGGTTTGTAGTCAAATGCCTTAGACATTATACCACCAGAGCTCCTAGCTAGACTAAAGTAGTATAATGTGTCATATACATGTGTCACCTTAACAGTGGAGATAGAAAGTCTTTGGGTGTTGGCATGGTTGTCCTTAGTGAATAGGAGAAACTAACTTTTGTTTGGGGAACAATCTTACAGCTCTGTATCTTGTAGCTACTTTGTCATAAGACCAGCTGTCTGTCATCTGTGTGTTCACTGAAGTTACATTCTTGATACCTATGAATAAAAAGATTGATCGAAGAGTCAGTAAATGCTTCAGGCATTGCGTTATTGGCAAGATCATTTTGTAAGAGGTGTTTGGGAAAATGTCTTACAGTTGCTGGGTCTGAGGTAGAGTTTGAGGAGCCCTGGTAGCTTGGCTGCTAACCAGAAAGTTGGTGGTGCAAATCCACCAGCACACTCTGCAGGGAAAGATGTTGCAGTCTGTATCCGTAAAGATTGACAGCCTTGGAAACCTCTGAGGCAGTTCCGCTCTGGCCTATAGGGTAGCTATGAATCAGAATCAACACAATGGCTTTGAGTTAGTGGGTAGGTAGAGTTTACACAGTCAGAAAGGCACTATGTTAACAAAGATTTAAAACAAATAAAAAGCACAAGGTGTGTAATAGCAAGACCGTAATGTCAGCCAGTTGGAAAGCTGGCGGGGGATTGTGGGGGAAGATTGTGAAGAGTCTCAAATCCCAGGCAGAGGCATTGGGACCTCATTCTCTCGGGTGTGAGCAGCAGTGGAATGTTTGTGAGGAAGTGTGTGTGTACAGTGACTGCTATCTAAGCTGCTGCTTCTTTAGAAGGGATACCTACCTAGAATATTCTTTTCTTCATAACTTTAAGTCTAGAACTGTCAGTACCTGTCTTTGAAGCCCACCCGTCATTACCAGTAAAGAAAGACCATCGATGCAGCAAGAAATGACACAGATTTTGTAATGGCAAATCTGTAAGTTTTCTAGAAATACAATTTCTAAGAATTTATTAATGTTGAATTTTATCCCATATCTCATTTAAAAATCATGAATGTATTCATTCCTTATTTAACAGGGCAGTGTTTACTGTATTTGGTTCCAGTGTCTTGATCTCCTTCCCTGGATGAAAGACATTCCCATGATCCTTGTCAAAGCTTTCTTGTCTTCTCAAAGGTCACTCTGTTTATTCTGTCCTACTTTCTACGAATCATGTGGCAGAATTGAGGCCTGTGCTGTGAATCAGCTTTGTGCAGATCATGAGATAAGTGTCACCGTTCCACTTATCACTGATCAGCTTCTAGGCACCCAGTCCTTTTGTGCTGTTTCAGAAGCAGCATTTGTTTTGTACATGGCTTATACAGCAAGGTTGTAATTAAACTCAGTACACTGTGGCTTAAAATACAGTTTTTGATGGCTTTGTAAAAGGTACTTTTTTTCACTTCGACAGACATATTTTTTATTTCATGCCATACTCTCTCCATTTGTTATAATTATGTGGGTGATTCTTGTTTATAGGTGATAAAGCAGGCTTTGACATTTTAATCCTCAACAAACCTACTTGGCTCAACTTGGTTATGCCAATTAGTGCACACTGGGAGAACCCAATTTTTTCAAAAGACCAGAATTAATGGAATTTCAATATAAATACTCATAACCCCAAATCCTCTCACTAACTCAAAATCAGTTAACCCCAAATCAATTAATAATAGCTTATTGCCTCTGAAAAGTTTGGAATCTTCCTTTCTTCCCTTATTCATCCCTCCCTCCTTCCCTCTCTCTTACTCTCTTTTTTTTTTTTTTTTTTTCCTGTTTTGAGTGACGGTTTAAACCAATTACAGTCTGCTTCATGAAGATGAGGTTATTTGAACCAGCTGTGAGGCAGCCATTTCAGCGTACAGAGAGATAATTGTGTTGAAGGCAAGGGCTCTGAAAAATCATGAAAAATATAAGAATTAAGTTCATAGGGTCCTACATGCATATAAGTAAGATGTAGACAACAGAGGCAAATACTAGTATATACACGATATTGCATTACCACTATCACCAAACACCAGGCTACAGATAAATGCATAGACAGGTGAGAAGATCAGGTGGGGGGCGGTGAACAGGAATACACCTGAGACCAAGGATAGATTTGGCTGAAGATAATCTTACATATGCACTTTTGCTACACAGTTATCCACACACATTACAGAAACAATGGAAAACAGAGTTGGAGTAACCTCTCTGAGAACCAAAAACCTTCAAAGAGAGACTCACCGGGCCTGCTGACTTGGGACCATAGTCTTGGGGGACATGATGCTCAATTGACACAACATAGTATATAAGAATCTTGTTACACAAACTACTTTGATGAGTAGCAACTGGGGTCTTAAAAGCTTTTGAGCAGCCATCTAAGATGCAACTATTATCTCCTCTCATCTGAATGAAAGAAAAGTGAAGAATATCAAAGACATCTGGAAACAATTAGTCCAAGGATAAGATGAACCATGGTTTCGGCTACCAATGCCAACCACGCAGAAAGGGATCAAAACTGGAGATCCTGGTAGAGTGGGAGGAAAAATGTGGAACAAAATCCAAAAAACACAAAAATGACCAGAATTCTAGTCAAATAGAGTCTGTCTACCCCAGGCGATTCACTCACCTACTCTAGGGAGATGTACGCCTTAGAGCAGTTTGGCATGGGGCCCCAGAGGGCAGCATTCACATAGAGGGAAAGCTGGAGAGACAGGAGTGCGCAGTTAACAAGGCCACAGGGCGCGCTAGTCACAAGGATGGGAGGGGAGGAGAGTTTGTTATGGTCGGGGATGGTGATTGGGGTGTGAAATCAAATGTACATGAACTGTTGAATGTGAAACAAATTTGCTCTGTAAATTTGCACCCAGAGCACAAAAAAATTAAAAAAAAAAAAAGTTCATAGGGTCCTTTGAAGATTTTGGGATCTTGACAAATAAGAGCCATAATTGTGTGACTTAAGAGGGGTGCTTTTCTGTTTCACTGAGTGGCAGACATGAGATACAGTTCTTTCAGTATCATGGAAACTTGCAGCCAGAATTAAATGGAAAATAAGAATTGAATCTAGTAACTTGATGTACCATCCAAACAACAAACCAGTTGTGTCAAATACATTCTAACTCATGGCAGTCCCTGCATATCATCGTAAAACTGTGCTCCATAAGATTTTCAGTGGCTGATTTTTTTAGAAGTAGATTGCCAGGCCTTTCTTCTGAGGTGTCTCTGGATGAACTCAGCCTCCAGTTGTTTCGGTAGCTGCTGAGTACATTGACTGAGTGCACCACCCAGGACTGCTTTACAATGGGGATTTTTCAGTAGTATTGCTCTTGCCTCCTGACATCTCACAGTTGTGAATTTGTTACCTACTTTCTAGGCGCACCTATGTTGGCAGTATGCCTGGTCGTATAATCAATGGCTTGAAGACTGTTGGAGTTAACAATCCAGTGTTCCTATTAGATGAAGTTGACAAACTGGGAAAAAGTTTACAGGGTGACCCTGCAGCAGCTCTCCTTGAGGTAAGATTTAGAAAACACCCAGTCTGTAATCACATGTGAAGTACGGATGAGAAGAGGTAATCATATTCAAGTAATGTGTTCATTGGTGTGGGGTTAGTTGTGGGAAAAATAGTTTGATACAGACTGACTTTATATCGTAGTGTTCTTAAATTTCACAGTAAAGGTGCCTCAGCAGTGTTCTTGTTTTGTCTGTTTCTCCTGGGCACTTTGGAGATTCTTTGAATTGAAAACTCCCATCCTCAGTTCTGGAAAATTTTCTTAAAGTCTTTTGTTGATGACTTTGATTACTTGGGTATTAGATCTTCCTATTACTTGGGTGTTAGATCTTCAATTTTCTTACCATTTCTCTCCTGTTTCTCATTTTGTTTATTCTTGCTTCCTTGGCTTTTGCTATTAACCCTTCCATGAATTTACCATTTCTGCTACCGTATTTTTAATTTCAAAGAACTTTTTCTTTAGTTCTCTGTATTTTATTTTTATATTGTCTTGTTCTTGTTACAAAGTTTTAATATATTCTTTCATCTTTGTGAGAAAGATGCTGACAAGATTTGTTTATAAATTCTGTTTATGATTCTCTTATCTGTTTGTTGTGTATTTTTTTTGGTCTCTATCTTTTGTATTAGAGTCTGTCATTAGATGTGTCATAATTTGTATTTGTCTATCCATGTTTAAGTGAAGAACTAAAAATCTGATTGGAAGCTGTGAACGTATGAGTCAGGTCAGGTTTTTGACTTAGAGCTACACATAGGGTCATCTGGCTGGACTGAAAGGTTTAGAAACTTCCAATATCAGTAATTTTGGGTTTTCTTGTTAAGCTAGTTAAATTTCTCAGAAAATACTCTTCATGTCTCTGGACTTAGGGATGAAGGTCCAACTATTGACATTCTGGGAACCAAATGGGTTAGGGAGAGTATCTCCACAATAAGGCATTTGACTGCTAACCAGAAGGCTGGCAGTTCAAGCCCACCAGCCACTCCTCGGAAGGCAGATTAGGCAATCTACTTCCGTAGAGATACCGCCTCCAAAACCCAAAGAGGGGTCACTATTATGAGTCAAATCGACTTAATGGCAGTAAGTTTGGTTTTGTTTTTATATATATGTATGTGTATGTATGTATATAGGAGCTCTGGTAGCATAGTGCCTAAGGCACTTGACTGCTAACCAGAAGGCTGGCAGTTCAAACCCACCAGCCACTCCTCGGAAGGAAGGTTGGGCAATCCTACTTCCGTAGTGATACTGCCTTGGAAACCCAAGGAGGGATCGCTATGAGTCAGGGCCGACTTCATGGCAATAACAACAACAACATATGTATAATACATATATGTATATATATGTGTGTGTGAATATATGTTTGTGTGTGTATACACATCAGGAGCTCTGGTGGCATAGTGCCTAAGGCATTTGACTGCTAACTAGAAGGCTGGTAGTTCAAACCCACCGCCACTCCTCAGAAGGAAAACTGGGCAATCTACTTCATAGAGATACTGCCTCAGAAACCCAAGGAGAGGTTACTGTGAGTCAGAATCAACTCAATAGCAGTGAGATTGGTTTGAGAGTTTTATATATATGTATCTCAGAAGAATGAAGAAAATATTGAACAATATTATTAATATAATTCAAAAATAGTTGCGGCAATACATCAACAGGGAACTGGCAGAAATTGAAGGCAGATTCAGAAAAGGACATGGAATGAAGGATATCATCGATGTCAGATGGATCTTGACTGAAAACACAAAATACCAGAAAGATGTTTATCTGTGTCTTACTAACTATGCATAGGCATTTGACTGTGTGGATCATAACAAATTATGGATAATGTTGCAAAGAATGGGGATTCCAGAACACTTAATTGTGCTCACGCAGAACCTGTACATAAATTAAGAGACAGTTGTTCGAACAGAACAAGAGTATCCTGTGTGATTGAAAATGAGGAAAAGTGTGTGTCAGGATTGTATCCTTTCACCATACTTATTCAGTCTGTATGATGGGCATATAATCAGAGAGGCTGTTGTCTGTGAAGAAAAACGTGGCATCAGGGTTAGGAAGACTTATTAACAACCTAAAATACGCAGACGATGCAACCTTGCTTGCTGAAAGTGAAGACTTCAGTATGGATTACACGTCAACATAAAGACAACAGAAATCTTCCCGACTGGACCAATAAGCAACAGCATGTTAAATGGAGAAACGATCAAGGACTGCGTTTGACTTGGATTCACAATTAATGTCCATGGAAACAGCAGTCAAGAAATGAAACAAAAATTGTATTGGGCAAATCTGCACAAAACGTCTTTAAAGTATTAAAAAGCAAAGATGTCACTTTGAGAACTGAGTTGTGTCTGACTAAAGCCGTGGTATTTTCAGTCACCTCCTATGCGTAAGAATGCTGGACAGTGTGAATAAGGAAGATCAAAGAATTGATGCCTTTGAATTGTGGTGTTGGCATAGAATACTGAGTATACCATGGACTGTCAGAACAGTGATCAGCTCTGTCTTGGAAGAAGTACAGCCAGAATATTCCTCAGAAAGGAGGACGGTAAGACTTTGTCTCACATACTTGGAGGAGGACACCATGCTTGGTAGAGTAGAGGGACATCAAAAGAAGAAGAAGACCCTCAACGAGATGGATTGACATGGCGACTGCCACAGCGAGCTTAAACAAAGCAGCAATTGTGAGGATGGCACAGGACCCGGCAGTGTTTTGTTCTCTTGTATATAAGGTCACTATAACTTGGAACCAGCTTCATGGGACCTAACAAGAATGACAATGCATATTTGCCCTCAGTGGCACGAATGGTTAAGCATTTGACTGCTACCCAAAGGTTGGCAGTTTGTGTCCACCCAGAGGTACCTCAGAAGAAAGGCCTGGCTGTCGACTGTGGAAAAATCAGCCCTTGAAAACCCCGTGGAGCCCAGTTCTGCTCTGACACACGCAGGGTCATCATGAGTCAGAATTGTCTTGAGGGAAACTTTTTTTTTTTTAAATGTGTGCATTCACTTGAACTCTTGTACTCAGTATAAGGATGATTGCTTCTCAGCTGTGCCCTGCCCAGCGGCCCCTGTGTAGGGAACTAGAAGATAAAGCTCCAGTATTTAGCCAGGGCAGGGGAGGGGGTCTGGAGACTGACTGCTTCGTAAGTTTACTTCAGCCGGTCCTCCTTGTTATAGCACATTTGGCCCCCCTTTTTACCCTTGTTTAGGTAAAATGTTATTAATACTCTAATTTATTTATAAAATTGAGAGGCAAACTTGCTCTGTGAAAGTTTGTATTTTTTCCTTGTTTATTTTCTTGTGTTTAGTTCTTTGGGCTTCCTGTTTCTTTTCTTTTTATATCTCAGATCAGGATGGCCTGGTTCTGTAAGCAGGGAGACCATAGATTGTTATTTGGCATAGTCACAGTTGATGCCTAATTATTAATTACACTCCCTTTTAGTCTCAGAAGTGGATCCTTTTATACAATAAAAAAATCTAGCTACCCTATTGGAAAGCCCCAGAGCTTGGGTGGGGTTTGGTGTGGTTAAGTTGGTTTGGTTTGTTTGTATTGTAAGATAATTCTTTGCTGGCTTGGTAACTGGTTTACTCTTCAGTACTGTGAACACTGAGATAGTGAATATTATTTAAGATTTTAGAGAATTCATAGATAATACCTTTGGGCTTTCAATTTAATTTACATTGAGGCAATTTTCAGATAATCGAATAGATTTCTCCCATTAGACACTTAGATATATCCTGTTGAAAAGAATTTAAGGGTAATTTCCTGATAGTTAACGTTTCTCAACAGACAGTTTTTGAGAGTCCTGAAGTAAGTCTGCCAAAAACAGCTTCACAGGTAGTAGAGAGGATTAAATTCCCTATTTATTTGTCTGCTACACAGACAGTGTATTTTAGATGTGCACCTACTGCTTTGTAGACATTCAATGATATTTGTTGAATTGAATTGTTCTTTGATAACAAGAAGTTAACATAGTATCTTTTGTCTCATGTAGAACTTAGTATTCCCTTTTTTCACAGTTGATTTATTAATATTCCAAAATAAGAGTATGAAAGCCTCAAACGATAGCTCAAAGTAAATGCTAGGTATGATAGTTTAATTATGAATAACATCAGTTCCTATACACTGTGATGCTGTAGAGTAAAACAAAACCAAAAAAAAACAAACTCACTGCCTTGGAGTCGGATCCAACTCATAGTGACCGCTCCTTGAGTTTCCGAGGCGGTATCTCTACAAAAGTAGATTGCCCTGTCTTCCTTCTGAGGAGTGACTGGTGGGTTTGAACCACCAGCCTTCTGGTTAGCAGTCAAGTGCCTTAGGCACTACACCACCAGAGCTCCTAGAACAAAACATGATAAAGTTATAGGGAGGAGGAACCAAGAGGGAGGATTAGGCAGATGTACTATCTAGACCCTCGACAGCAAAGCCTCCAGAAACCAAGTGAAATGGATACAGATGACGATCTTAGAACCCAGAACTTCAAAGGAGAGGATAAAAAAGTAGACAAAATACTGATGAGAGGAAGCAACTGAACGAAAACAGTGGACAAGAAGCAGTAAACTGCCAACCAGCACAGCATGACCACTTTCACTAATTGCAAGCAGCATTCTGATTGGAACAGGAACCAGATCACCACCTCTGCTTGCCCAGGACTGCACCCGCACCCACATTAGTGTTTGGGTGACCAGAAGGGTGCTTTACCCGCGCTTGCTGTGAACAGCTTTCCGGTGGCCAGAGGCATGGTCTCCCACCCCAGCACACACTGCCAGTGCTGTGTCACGGTGTTTTAAAGTTCTTTCCTCTCCCCACTTTTGCTTTTTTTCCTTTATTCTTTCCCTTCCTCTTCCTTTGCTCTTTTTTATTTTTCTTTCTTTTTTTTTTTTTTGGATCCCACAGAGCAGGCACCCCTTCCACTTCACCCACGTAGAAGGCAGTGCCCACCCCTGCCCCTTCTAGTTGGAGATACCTGCAAGTGCTGCATTCCTGGGCTGCCGTGTTTGGCGGGTGGCACTTTTGCCAGTACTGGGCTGTTTTTTTTTTAATATGTTTTCTCTTTTCCTTCCTCTTAGTTCTTCCCTTTTGCCCTCTCTTTTTTTCTGCCTCCCCCCTCCCTTTTTTAGGTCTCACAGAGTGGTTGCCTGCCCTCCTGTCCCATTCCATGGCCAACAGCACCCGCCCCGCCCCGCCCCTCCCTGGGCAGTAGTGCCTGGTTCCGTGGAGTGAGCTGTGCGTTGCCACTGTAGCTGTGCTTGGTGGCTAATGCTTGTGCTAGTTCTTTTCTTTCTTTCTCTTTTTCCTTCTCAGTTCTTCATTCTTCCCCTTCTCATTTCTTTTCTTTCCTGTTTTTTCCTCACCTCCTCTCTCTTTTTCTCTTCATCTGCCTGAGCAGGTGCCCCACCTGGTTCTTCACGCCCGACCCTCAGGATTCGGTGGGGTACACTCTTGTGGAGTAAGCACCACGTTTCCGCTGTAGCAGTGTCTGGTAGCTAGTGCTCATGGCAGTACTGTGTGTCATTTTTTTGTTTTGTTTTTTCTTTTCTTTCATCTTAGGTCCACCTCTTCCTCTTTGTTTTTTCTTTTTTTCTTTTTTTTAAATTTCTCTTCCCTCCCTCCCCTTTTTCTTTTCTTTTTTTCTCCTTCATTCTATTGTTCCCCAGCAGTCAGGAGCCACAGATCGTACCCAGCCATCCCCACCACACTCGCTACACTTGCTGCTCCACCCACTCCAGCACCACTGGATCGGCAGCCAGCACCTGCCCAGCCTGCCCTCAGTCTCTCTGTACAATCAGGACTCGGGTCCACTCCCACCTGGTACTGAATCCACCCAGAGACAGCTGGTGAGTGCCTCAGTGCTCCAGACTAACAGCCGAAGTAACACACCCGTCCTGTTGCCCGGATGTATTAAAACAGAATGAGCCATCAAGGTGAACAAACCAACACACAGTCAACAAATTAATACAGTGACACAAGAGTGTCTCAGAGACAGCAGACTATTTTAAATCACAAAAGAAAACAGGGCAAGGTGGCTCAAACAAGTGACCAAAACACAAGGCCAGAAAATCTTCCAGAGGTAGAAATGCTCATAGAACTACCTGATGAGGTATTCAAAGGAATTATATTTAGGGACCGTCAACAGATTAAAAGTTCAAGAAAATCACAGACAAAATTAAGAAAAACAGATAAAACTCTAGAAGAACTCAAAAAAACAGTACAAGAATATATTGACAAAATAAATGAAAAATTAGAAACCATACAACAGCAAAATGAAATCCAAAAGATTAATACCAAAATTTCAAAAATAGATAAAGCATTGGAAGCAAAAGAATAGAATCGAATCAGTGGACGCAGAATTAGCAAGATTGACGACAAAGCTCTCAACATTAGTCTGTTACAGGAACAAGCCGAAGGAAAAAGAATGAAAAAAAAATGAAGTGCTCAAACAATTTATTTCATAAAGATCAGCACAAGGCCAGGCCCCTAAGAGGTAGAGGTTAAAGATGTCTCAAATCTCCAATTTCTCCACACTGCTGTACCACACCATCATCTCTAATATCAACTCCTGCTCCTCCCCTCAGTACGCTCCCTCCCATCTTAGGGTTCATATTTCGCTGTAACATCACAAACTGCCAAGGAAATGGCTCGCATGGTTGTAGAGGCTGGCAAGTCCCAAATCCATGGGTCAGGCATCAGTGTGGAGGATTTTCCTCACTAATATAGTTGCAGGGGCTGATGAACCCAAGTCAGCCCCAAGGACTTGTGGGTGAGATGATGGTGAAACCGATGTAGGATCCAGAGCCAGAGAGAGAGTGGACTTAGCCAGCACATTCATATATATACCTTCAAGGATACTAAGGGTGGTCACTTGAGTCACCCTCTAGTAAGGGAGCACAAGATATATCCTGCCCTAATCCTGCTTCATCGACATAATGGAAAACACACCCCAAAATGGGACTGTAACCACAGGCATAGAAGCTAGGATTTACCACCAGCCACTTCCCTGGGAGAAGGATGAGGCAGTCTGCTTCTGTAAAGATTAACCATCTTGGAAACCCTATGGGGAATTTCTACTCTGTCCTATAGGGTCACTATGAGTCTGAATCAACTCAGCCATAGTGGGTTTGGATTTGGGTTTTGGTTTGTATTGTGTTTTAAAAGACTTCATTCATAGTTCAAAAACATTGTTTTATTAATTTTCTTACTTTTTTTTTTAAGCCCTCTGGTGGTGTAGTGCCTAAGGCACTTGACTTCTAACTAGAAGGTTGGCGGTTCAAACCCACCAGCCAGCCACTCCTCAGAAGGAAGGTTGGACAATCTACTTCCATAGTGATACTGCCTTAGAAACCCAAGGAGGGGTCGCTATGAGTCGGAGATGACTCAACGGCACATGACAACAGCAAAGGGTGTAGGGGCAGCGTCCACTGACCTCCTCCAGCCTCATGAGGGGAAGAGAAAAACCACCATCAGCATCCCAAGGCAGATTCCTAGGAGGCCGGACATGCTGCTATCCTCCAACCTGTTTTCCAATTTTCACACTAACCATCCCTTCCATGCTACTCTCTACTTCTTTGCTAGATTTGATAATTCATTGCAGTGGCCACACAGAACTCACAGATAATGTGATTGTGGAGTTTATTAGAGAAGTGTAACAGATTACAATCTAGGTTCAGGAACACACTCAGGATACAATTCTTCAGTCAGGACAGCTTTCTTTCTGCTGTGCCTGAAGGCTTACCTCTCTTTGGTCCTTGACCTCTCGGCCTAGTCCTGCTTGGGCAAGTGTTACAAAGCTCTTACAGCTCTGCCGATCGGTGCACCCCACTCCTCCAGCAAGCGTCCTGCCCAAAGGCACTCGGCTTTCTCGCTCCATGGGCCAGTTAGTCCGCCACCCTGTCTTTTGCTGGTCTCTCAGTTCTGCTGCCTCTGCTACCACTGTCTCTCTGCCAAGGAGGTCCAGCGCAGGGATCTCTGGTCCAAGGACGTGCTCCACTTTGCCTCCAGCTCTTCTCTCCGAATGGCAGTTAGATCCCCCTTCTGCCTCTGGGAGGGCTCATTTTAAGCCTAGCAGAATGACAGAACTGACCAATCTCCATATAGGGTTCCATACACCCCATTTCCCTGGTCCCACCCCCTCAAGGGTCCCATGTACCTTATTTACATTGCTAGCAAACCATCCAGTTCCCTTTGTGGACCACAAGCCCTTGTATTTGCATAGTTCCACCCAGTCATCTGGGAGCCACAGAGAACATGGCTAAGTAATTCACTACACCACAATGTCTTAAAATTTTAAGGAAAGAAAGTTCTTCACTTGAACAGATGTGACAGCCATTTCTAAAACATACTCAACATTTATGTGTTAGCTTAATTAGTGCCATTGAAAGATCTTTCTTTCATTTAACTATGATTGCTGTATTTTCCATATATAAATTACCAATTTTCAGATAATTGGTAGAGACTAAGATTACAATGAACAAATTCTATGCTGAATATAATTCAGATTTTCTTTGATGATTTCAAAGTGTCTTATTTTTATAACATCAAACATACCAAGTTTTGTGAAAATAAGAATATGAGAGCTTTCTGGGAATTGTATTCTAGGTGAACAGTTTTCAGTAACGTTCATAATTCAGGAGTATATGTAAAGGGTCTTGAATTGAAACTATCCTATGGAAATTTTGAAAAATAAATAAAACTTTAGGAAAGAAATTAGAAGCAAGGAAAAGCTGATTGTATAGTAACTTGTGATTGGTTAAATGTTTTAGTCATTTTACTTCTTTTTTTAATATATTTTTTAACCCTGTTTATAGCTGTACTAATTTGGTGTGAATCAAAGTAGTAATAGTACTTCCTTAAAGTTTAAGGTACTAAGTGCCTTCTTTAAAGGTACTAAGTGCTTTCTGTAAAGTCCTTTGTAAGCCTATCAGCAATGGGTGACTGTGACTTGAAGCATTTGTGCAGTAACCTAAAGAAGATAAAGTCTCTTTAATAAACACTTGCTGAGTATTTTGAAACTAGTTGATAAGTTCCATAATTTAACTAGTTGAACTACAGAAATATTTTTAAGAAATACTAATTTTTTTCTGAATGAAACAGTAAGTGTTACTTTAAGCTATTTTTAGGAAGTGAATTTTTCCTTGTGCTATTTCAGAATATAAGGATCTCTGGTGATGCAGTGCCTAAGGTATTTGACTGCTAACCAGATGGCTGGCGGTTCAAACCCATCAGCTGTTCCGTGGAAGGAAGATGGGCAATCTACTTCTGTAAAGATTTACCGCCTTGGAAACCCAGTGGGGTTGCTGTGAGTTGGAATTGACTCAGTGGCAGTGGGTTTAGTTTTAGGATTTTTTTATATTTGGATATTATCATAGTAATTTTTACTAATTTATTTTGAATTCCTTTTTCGGTTAAAGAATTTATGCCAGACTTCCTAATAATAATTGAGGAAGAATACAGTGATGATGATTTTACCTGCTGTCTAAGAATTTCAAAATACTCTACATGTTTACATTAAATTCTCATGGTAGTTAATAAAACAAATGTTACCAAGATGGAACCTGGTTCTGCAGGATTGGTAACTTATTTATGGTCATATAGTGAGCTGTTGGTAGATTTAAGAAGAAAACCTGAAAGGGTAATTTTTGCTTCTTTGTACTTTTTTTGACATTGAACATTTCTCATTAAGAAACAAGTATTAAAATGTGGAGAGTTGCGAAGAATGAATCATGCCCCACGTTTAGTGTTAGCCCTCCCCCAAAGAAAGTATTGAGCCGAAATGCCAGTCTTGCTAACGCATCATGTATGTTTTAATTTATACAGCTTTCTATTGGAACTACTGAATTTCTTGTTTAAATAATTATTGTTCTTTCCTAGGTGTTGGATCCTGAACAAAACCATAACTTCACGGATCATTATCTAAATGTGGCCTTTGACCTTTCTCAAGTTCTTTTTATAGCTACTGCCAACACCACTGCTACTATCCCACCTGCTTTGTTAGACAGAATGGAGATCATTCAGGTGCCAGGTACTTGATTTGTAAATAAATTGTTTGGTATTCCTTGCCTTCAGAACATAATCCTTTAAAACTGGTCATGCTGTGGAGTTTTGAGTAAAGAATTTGATTTACCAGCTCTTTAATATATAGTATGTAATACAGCCTTCAGAAGTTTTGAGGCTCATTTATAAACCAGCTTTTATGTAGATTCAGAGTTTGAATGAGCACAGCTTGTGTTGTTTTGAACCATGACAAGATAAGAGTATGTATATACTCTGAAAGATGTTTTAGTTTACTGTTGAGAATGATCACTTCTTAAGGAAAATAAGACCTTTTTCTGTGAAATAGTTTCTAAAATTTGGTTGAAAATTAATTTATTTCTTCAAAGTCAGTGTCTCAAAACCAAAAAATATATCTTCACACGGTCAATTTAGCTCCCAGTCTATCAGATTATGAAGTTTCTACCATCTCCCTCGAAAAGTGTTGTTGTTGTTATGTGCCGTCAAGTCGGCCCCGACTCATAGCGACCCCTCCTTGGGTTTCCGAGGCAGTATCACTACGGAAGTAGGATTGCCCAACCTTCCTTCCGAGGAGTGGCTGGTGGGTTTGAACCGTCAGCCTTCTGGTTAGCAGTCAAGTGCTTTAGCCACTATGCTACCAGAGCTCCTTCGAAAAGTGTTACATAATCATTTACTCTGTTAAGAGATGTTTCCTAGAAAGCACCTGAACTTTCTCCTCATCAAATCTCACCTCACTTTTGTATGAACTTACATGGTACTGATAGAATGGGAGTAAAATGTGGAACAAATCTCAAAATCATGAAGACCAGACTTACTAGAGACTGGCAGACTGCCTGAGAGGATGGCTCTTGCACACCCCTTTGGCCTGGAACCAAACTCACCGCACATTGTTCAACTTTCAGCCAAAGAATAGGCAGGCCTACAAGGTAAACAGTAATACCAGGGAGGTACGAACTCCTTAGAACAGTCAGCCAATCAAAATAAAAGGGCAGCATTGCCCAAGGATAAAGCTTGGAAGGCAGGAAGGGATAGGAAAGAAGGACAAATGGAAACAGTAAATACAGGGAGGAAGTGGGAAGAGTGCTTTTACATTGTGGAGACTGCAGTCAGTGCCTCAAAACAAAATGTGTCTGAATTTTTGTCTGGAAAACCAATTTGCTCTCTAAACTTTCACTCAAATCACAATAAAAAGTGAAACAAGAAAAGAAAAAGTAAAAGCAAAGGAAAAAAGAAAATGAGTACTTTTAAATTTCTGTTTCATTGGCTCTGTCAAGTGGTTTTATATGTATATGTATTTTTTAATCAGTGTCTTCTCCTCAACTGGAGTGTGCAAGATAAAGTCATTTAATTACTAGCATGGAAGGAATCCAATGTTTTTACCTTTTTTTAATTGCTTGGAATTATTTTTTCCTAGAAGAGATCAAATATCAGTGAGTATTTGTTCAAATGAAAATAAAGTGGAATCTAAATGTATTTTTCAGATTAGTCTGAAATGTATTTTTACTATTAAATAGTGGTGATTGGATTTCTTAATTATCTGCAAGCCCTACAGATTTAGTTTTAAAGTATGGTAAAGTAAAAAAAGTTGGTTCTGCATAGCTATGTATAAGACCAAAATGAATAAGTAATTAAACCCAATTGCCTGGAAACTCCAGATTAAGGCAGAAATTCTGTAAGATCCACTGATGTGAAAGAAATATTCAGGACAGCTGCTACAGAGGTGGACAGATGATACCACTTTCCTTTGCTCGTTTTGGTCATCTTGTCTTCTGTTTTTTCTGTTGTGTTTTACCTTTTAGTTCTATTCAAAAGATGCCCTAGTGATTCCTATTTTTAATTTTTACTTGTTAAAGGGAAAGGAAGAATTTTGTCTTGTAGGATTTAAAGACAGTAAACGTGTAATGAAAAGATAAATTCTTTTAAAAAATATAAACTATAATTCTACTGTGGAATAAATAAGTAAATCTGTGGGATAAACAGACTTATTACGGGAATGTCTAGGTGTTGTTCTCTCTTGTTGCTGATATTTATGGTTATGGTTCCAGAAGTAGTTCTTCTGGAGTTCTTTCCTTTGGAGCTCACTGCTTAATTAAAGTCTTTTTTTTTTTTTTTTGGTAAGTTTTTAAATGTATTCTTAACTTGTGCTAAAGAAAAGGGATGTAAATATTTTTCCATTAAATAATAATAAAATAGCGCATTTGAGATAAGATCATCTCTAAGGTCTGACTGAGATTTCTCTCTTTGAGAGATACATCATTTAAGCTAAAGACTTTCAAACACTGCTTGCTTAGTTTGCAGAAAAGTTGGAAATTTTAACAAGTACTGATTTGAGGTTGAATTCCTTTATTCTGACAGTAGTCTTAGTTGAAGTAATATTTAAATCCATTCTAAATCCAAGATCCATTGACTCTGCATTTGATTCATTAAAAAGGCATGACACTGTGGCACCTGTGTGAATAACTTAAAACAAGATCTCGTTCTCTTACAGGGTATACACAAGAGGAAAAGATCGAGATTGCCCATAGGCACTTGATCCCAAAGCAACTGGAACAACATGGGCTGACACCTCAGCAGATTCAGATCCCTCAGGTTACTACTCTTGACATCATCACCAGGTTAGTCAGCTATCCTGAGCTTCATTAATGTTTGGGTCTGAAAAAGAGATTATTTTACTGGCAACCTATAGCATCCATTTCCTTCTCTCCAGCAGATTCCTAGCAGGCATTTCCATGATTGATTTACACAGGGCTGTGTATTACTCAGAAACTCATAGAGAAAGCACTTTGAATGCCTTTATCACTAAGGACCTTAGTTGATCTAGAGTTTGATAAATAAAGAGCCAAAAGCATGGAAAATAAAGACACTTGATAGGGCCGGGGTCTTGCAACTGTTGAATTCTCTTAAGAGATAAGATGCTGCTTCCTGACGTCTGTTTTAGGTTTTCTGATTTTCTTGTCTATGACTGAAAGATTTTTCAAATCTTTAGAATTAACGCTGGAACAATAGAGAAGGTGCTTTGCAAGGTTTGCTACCAAGTGCTTAAGCCTGTGGCAAGCAGTGTATAAATTATGTGAGTAGAGTATTGCTCAGTCTAATTTATTGATTGCTAGTTTGAATGGAAAATGTACTCTGTTGAGAATTTATATCTACCATAGCCTCTTAGAGTTTTCCTGGCTCAGTATTACAGAGCCATTGCATCATCTGGCAGATTGTGTCAGACTGCCAGGCATACAGGCCTTTTCCAGTAACTTCTGGTTTTCAAAAAAAAACGTGAAGTGTCTCTCCATTTTGAAACTTTTATTTAGTGTTTGGCCAGTCAGATTGCCTTTTGATTTAAGTGAGCCTTCTTATGGAAGTCTTTTTTAAATTTATACACAGAACAGTGAGACGAAATCTGACCTGGAAGTTCCTTTTCTTAGCTTGTTTTCTGATTTACTAGGTCGATTCTGCCAGACATAAATTAGGTGATTTATATGCCAAAGTCTTCCAACAACTTCATTTCGTATAACCCTCCTAATGGCTCTGGGTAACTTTGAACACATGACTTAACCTTTCTGCTAGCGACTTTTTTTATGTCTCTAAAATATGAGTGATAGAGAAAATAGGCAGCATTTCTCTGAACCTGACTAATGATGATTCTGAAGACTAATCTTTATTTGTATTCCCCATTTATTGCTTGGAGAACTTTTTTCAAATGCTTGTTAGCTTGAAACCTCAGATATTAAAAGCTACCCCAAAAAAAAAAGCCAAACTCACTGCCGTTGAGTCGGATCCAACTCATGGCGACCCCTCCTTGGGTTTCCGAAGCAGTATCTCTACGAAAGTAGATTGCACAGTCTTCCTTCGAGAAGTGGGTGGTAAGTTTGAACTGCCAGCCTTCTGGTTAGCAGTCAGATGCCTTAGGCACTGCGCCACCATTAGGAAATGTGTAACAAATTTGAGTTTTCTGTTTTGGGGTTGTGTCAGAGTCGTAGACTCTTACTTAATGTTCAGCAGAAGGGGAGAGTATCTTAGAAGTCATGCAGTCCTGCTTACCTCCCGTATAACCAGCCTACTTGAATACTTCCAATGCTTGCTAAGATTCTTCCTGCTTCTACTCCCCCTTGCAGAGTATGTAACTGTAATCTTCATAGTCACCGCCATTTAATTTTCTAATTCTGGAATCTTAAGTATAACTTCTCCCTTGTACTCTTCTTTAGACATTTAAAAAAATGCTGTCAAATCTACATGCCATACATTTTTCTCATCTTCAAGCTAAATATTCTTATTCTCTTTACCATTCTTCTTGACGTTCTCACCTTCTTGAATGAATTTCACTTCTGGATGAATCCTGTGCTTTCAATCTCTCTTTTAAAATGAAATACTCAGAATGAAATAGAATTTCAGATGTGGCCTAAGCAGTTCATGGTATAGAGAGAATATTGCTTTTCTTGTTCTATTTTATTGGTCCCTGGGTGGCACAAACAGTTTGTACTTGGCTACTTATCTCAAGGTTGGCAGTTCAAATCCACCCAGCAGCACTACGAAAGAAAGGCCTGGAGATCTACTTTTATAAGAATATGGCCGTCGAAAACTCTGTAGAGGACACACATGGGATTGCCATGAGTCAGAATCAACTAGACGGTGGCAGATTTTGTTTGGTATATATCCCACAGTCCTTAGCTGTTTTAGGTCATCTTCTTGACTACTACACTTAGGATTAACTAATACTGTTAATTTTTTTCATATGAATTCCTGCTAAACTCAAGTCTATCCCAAATACAGAATTCCAGTTATATATTTTTTATTGTTAGCTTCAGCTGCCATTGCAACAAATTGGTTTGTTTTGGATCTTGATTACCATCAACTATATTTGTTTAGGGAGCTCTGGTAGCGTAGCACCTAAGGCACTTGACTGCTAACCAGAAGGCTGGCAGTTCAAACCCATCAGCCACTCCTCAGAAGGAAGATGGGGCAATCTACTTCTGTAGTGATACTGCCTCGGAAACCCAAGGAGGGGTTGCTGTGAGTCGGGGCCTACTCGACGGCACATAACAACAACAACATATTTGTTTATGTCTTCTGAAAATGAGCATGTGTATATCTTTATGTGTAAGTCTTTGTTGAGGAACAGCAACTAAGAAACATCAGCTGACTCTTATTTGGCACTGGTGATTCTTCCGTTTTCAGTTTAAAGATACTAGTAGGAGTTGGTTGTGTCTCCTTTCTTCCTGTCATCTATTAATGGTATACTAGCCATATTAGTTCATGGCCCGTTCTTGTTCTAAACGCGTAAAAAGGCTTTTTTGCCATCCATACTTTTTGGCAGCTTCACCTCGTTCTGAAGGTACTGTTCATGCCTGTCTTCATATGCTTCCTGAGCTGCTTTTCCTCCATCTTTTGTTCAAACCCTTTAATCTAAACTGATCAGCTAAAGCTGCCGCTACAGTTAGGGTTTTGTTTTTATATATTCGTTTATTTTTAAGTTGCCTCCCTATTTTCTTCCATGTTGAAATTGTATGTGGTTGTATAACATGAACTTTCTCTTACCATCCCTTTGATGAAATGAGTTTTACTCAGGACTTTGAACTGGTTCTTGCCAGTTCTTTTTTGGCCAGTGCAGTGAAATCAGAATAGACCTGAATTTGTAAAATGAGGGTGTACCAGAACAATAACCAGAGTGAGAAAGATTACATGTAAAAGCCCTGGATGAGAGATTGAGAAGAGGCATAGAGAGCCTTTTCAAGAGCCAGATACTGGAGATTGGATTATTGGCAATTATTGGAGAGTGACACACATTGAAAGTGGGGCAGTGGACCGCCACCTTTGAGTGTGGCACCACTGTTTCTGACTCTGCTGGTAAAGAGATTTTGTTGCTGTGGAATGTGCAAGCTGCCCGCATTTTCTAAGAAGGAGATTCAGTTTTTAGCAGGACGTCAACCTGTAATTTTTCCCATTGCAGTTATCATTCCTGTTTCACTTCACTGGCTATGACTGAATTGAGAAGGACCAGTTTGAAGCCCTGGTTTTACTTCAGCCCATCTAGCCGACAGCTCTATTTTGTCTTAGAACATTTTAAATCTGCTTCCCTAACATCTAAAATGTATGTCTAACTGCCTAATCAAATCCAATTTTTCAGGTAAAACTGCATTCTCTATCTGATGCTTCCCATTTCAGATCTAAATTTGGGAGGCCAAAATGGTTGTACCCTATAACAATATATGGAATAGCTTACAGAATTTTAGTTTAACATGCAAGTTTTTAAAGGCATCTCTGCTTAATCGTATTTAGAGTTCTTTCACAAAATCACAATGCTTGCATCACTTAACATTCTTTCTTTCTTTAGAAGCCCCACAATGAAAATACACTTAGTGTAGTTCCTAGTAAAAACTAGATTTCTGTCTTACTTTCTTTTTTGCTCTGTTTGAAAAGAAAGTTTTATTTTTCTGATTCTTCCAGTAATGTTTCAAGAATAATAAATTGCCTAGAATTCTTAAATTAAAAGCATTTGTTTGCAAGAACTCTGAAGGAATAAATGGTGTTTTATGTGCTACCAAATGTTTGAGTATAGAGTAATAGTGCAGGATAATCTGTAGCAAGGAAAAAATTTGTGGCCGAAAATGCTTTAACAAGAAATTTGAAGTATTGGTAAGTTACTATTCAACAAAGTTTAATGAACTTTATTGTTTCTTTGGTATAGATATTTATCACATTATTTCTGTCCATTTTCACAGATGGTGTTTAGCCAAAAATAAAATATTTTCCTTTGACAACAGGTATACCAGAGAGGCAGGGGTTCGTTCTCTGGATCGGAAGTTTGGAGCCATCTGCCGAGCGGTTGCCGTAAAGGTGGCAGAAGGACAGCATAAAGAAGCTAAGCTGGACCGCTCGGAAGTGACTGAGGGAGAAGGTCTGTGACCTTGATCTGATGCTCTCAGACTCGGTGGCTAGGAGTGAATGGCAAAATAGACTTGGGCATGGAGGGATGGTGCTGGGTTATCCTTGAAACGATGGCACATACCACTCGACTAATAGATGCTTCCAATGGCTGACTAATAATGTTTGATGTACTTTATGAAGGTGATTCTCTTTTACAAACAATATAGCATTTTAACTGGAATAATAATACATTACAGATAGGGTAGAACAGAAAACTATTACAGCCTTAAAATATCCAAGCTGTCCAAGTATTGCCAAGGCAGGTCTTTGTGCCCTGGAATAGCTTCATGTGTTGTAATCTGTTTTTTCCACATACTTTCTTTTACAGGTGTGCAATTAAAATGCAATTTAAATTATATTCTCAAAAAAATTATTGTGGATATGTTGTTGTTGTTGTTGTTATGTGCCGTCGAGTCGGCCCCGACTCATAGCGACCATATAGTGACGGGGAAAGTCATGGGGAGTGACTCTTGACTCTCCATCACTGAAGTGATCAAACATGGAGGTTTCCTTTGACAACCAGTTAAAATATTTTACCTTCTTGCCCAAGAACTATCAGGAGTTTCAGTTCATGCTGTTATGCTGTTAGCTAAACCTTACTTTAACAAACGTGCCTGGAATGGTAGGGAATTGAAAATGTTGTTTATAGTAAAATGATTGATCAGATGTTCTACTGTTTCCCTAGCTCTTTCCAAAAAGGAGCTGAATGAATGAATCATAATTTGTGGTAGGCTTGGGGAAATAGATACAGTTAAACATCTTTCTTGTCTTCTTTCTACTGTAAAGTGCAGTGCATTTTAAAACAGCAGTAGCATCAGAGAGAAGGCTGTCACCTAATCCTCCTGTTAGTGTGATGCTTCACCCTGCTCTCCCACTGTGCCTGGAGCACCTAAATATAGAACCTCTCTGGGTAATGTTCTCCAGAGAGCAAACCTCCTGTCTTCTGTTGAATTAGAGAAGGGTGGTTCCCTTAGAAGAGCCCTGATGGCACAGGGGCTGCTACCCAAAAGGTCGGTGGTTTGGAGCCACCGACTGCTCTTCAGGAGAAAGATGTTGCAGTCTGCTCTTACAAAGATATACAGCCTTGGAGCCCTTTGGGGACAGTTCTACTTTGTCTTACAGAGTCACTATGAGTCAGTATCTACTCAATGGCAGTGAGTTTGGGGTTTTTCATTTTGTTTTGTATTGTTCCATTATTAAGGAGCCCTGGTGCAGTAGTTAAGTGCTTGGCTGCTAACTGAAAGGTCAGCACTTCAAAACCATCAACTGCTCCATGGGAGAAAAGACCTGTTGATCTGCTCCAGTAAAGATTACAGCCTAGGAAACCCGATGGGGCAGCTCTGCTCTGTCCTGTAGAGTCACTATGATTGGAATCACTCGGCAGCACACAACAGCAGTTCCCTTATGTGTGGAAGAGGGTTAGGCACCGTGAGCTCCAGATGCTTCTTACACAGACTGAGATTTTGTGTTTTCAGTCGCAACCCTCACCATACTTACAAGGGTACCTCCGATTCTTGATTCTTTGAAGAATTTCTGTGGCTCAGATGGACTTGTTGGTTCCCCCTCTGCAGAATTGAAGTTCCCATTTTCTCTAGTCTACCAGGTATTTTATTACTTCTTCTCCATCCATTTTCTCTTTTCTAAAATTTTGTCAGCACCTCATCAGCTTTGTCTTCTTTCTCATTCTTTTTGTTCATATGGGTTTATGTTTTATTTCTTAGCTATCATTTTAGTAGGGTTTGAAGAGGAAATTTAGAGATAAACATGTGTTCAGACCACCATTTTTAGAAATCTGAATTTGTAAAAAGTCCCTTAGGTAAGTGATAGCCTATCAAGACTGGAAATGTAAGCTGGCAGGGTCGGTGAGGAGCTAAGCAGTATTTTTCCTTTCTCTTTCCCTAAATATAAAACCTTAATCTAGATGCTCCTCAATTTTCCCTTTTCATTCTTCCAACACTTCCTTTGTGTCGTGGCCTAAAGCAACTGAACCTGTCTTTTAGCTCTTTCATCCGTGAAAGGTAGAGAGTGAAATGAGTTTATCCAGCTAACACACTCTGAAAATTGTATATGAGTGTAGATGATGATTTTTAGCGTTCATAATAATAAATACACAAGGATTTACATCACAGGGAAGCTTTCCATAATTATAGATTGCTTAATGATTATAATACAGCTGTTAGTGTATTTCTAATGATGTGGGTAATCATATTAGCTACATAAAGAGAACCCACAAATATTCATGGACTTGTTCAAACACTTTGTGAACTGTGTGAGAACATAGTTTTTCATGGTAACATTTAATTGATTAATTTTTTTAGATCTGTTTCAAAGAACCTCTAAATGGAAACATAGTTAAGCAGATTGAGGTAGTTAAGATATTCCCCAGGACGTCTGACGAGTAAATAGTAGGATAAATGCTTGTCTCTTGAGCATGATTTTGGTTGTAGTCCTCTGGACTCTAAGCCTGTTCTCATATTGTACGATGCCCTTGAGCCAATTATAAGGTATTCTGAATTAGTATTTATGACTTCAGCCAAACTAAAGAAACATTTCTACAAAAGAGTCTACACTAAGTAGGAGATCCTGGATAGAGTGGGTGAACAATGTGGAACAAAACTCAAAATTGTTAAAAAAAAAAAAAAGAAAAAGAGGACCAGGTTTGCTGGTCTGCTAGAGCCTGGTGAAACCCCTGAGACTGTATGGCCCCTAGGTGCCCTTCAGGTCTGGAATTGAATCCACTCCTGTGGCTTCCAGCCAAGCAGAAAACAGGCATAAGAGCTGAACATTTATCTGAGGTAGATACACTCCTTAGAGAGATCAATCATGGGAGAATAGAAGGGCTGTTTATGCACTGGGAGACAGCTCGGGGGGCAGGAGTGCATGGAGTGAAGGACACAGGGAAGAGGTAACTATAGGGAGGAAATTGGAAGGGAGCTGTTGCATTGTGGGAAATTGCAGTTGATGTCATGAGACAAAGTGTGTGTGAATTTCTGTATGGAAAATGAATTTGCTCTGTAAACTTTCACCCAAATCACAATAACTATTAAAAAAAAAGTCAACATTAAGTTTTCATACCACAGAGTTCAAATGCAGCTTAGTAACTGAAAGTTTCTCATGAAGGAATGAATTATTTAAAATAAAAGTGTAAAACAAAATAACTGTTTTAGAAATTTCAACTAATGCAATGAGGGACTTATGCTTAATGTTAAAAATAATTCTGGGCTTAGAGTTATTGCCAGGAAGAAAAGTAATTTCAGGCCCCAAGTTTCAAAACAGGCAGAATCCTCCAGTATATTGAACTTTTTGGAGTAGTTACTAATGACTTGGGAGCTCTGGTAGCATAGTACTTAAGGCACTTGACTGCTAACCAGAAGGCTGGCAGTTCAAGACCACCAGCCACTCCTTGGAAGGAAGGTTGGGCAATCCTACTTCTGTAGTTATACTGCCTTGGAAACCCAAGGAGGGGTCGCTTTGAGTCGGGGCTGACTCGACAGCACATAACAACAACAACAACTGGCAATTAAATAGACCAAATAATAACAGAGTTTAAAAGGCAGGTGAAATTTATAATTGATCTGTGTTAGAGGAGGAATATGCTGCATTTTTTTTCTGTATGTTATTAGTGTATTCTCAGTGGCCTTTTTCCTTTTTGGTATATTTATTATGTTGAGAGATAAGAATACCTGACTAAAATTTTATTTCACTTTTTGCCTGCCTTTAGCTTACGACACCGATGTGTTCAGTTTGACATACCCAAGGTCTTTCTCTGTAACCACACCCACTGTCATCGAATCGATTCCGACTCACAACAACCCTCTAAGGCAGAGTAGAGGGGCCCCATGAGGTTTCCAAGGCTGTCAGTCTTTATGGAAGCAAAACTGCCTCCTCTTTTTCCCACTGAGTGGCTGGTGGGTTCAAACTGATAACCTTTTGGTCAGCAGCCAAATGTTTTAACACGACGCCACCAGAGCTGCTTTCTCTGTAAAGAGTTAGGCGAATGTCCTTTGTTCAGGTACTCAGTACTTTGTTGTTGGGGGCCATCGAGGTGATTTTCAGCTCATGGCAGCCCCATGTGGCAGAACTGCCCCCACGGCATTTCCTGGGCTGTAATCGTCAGATAAGCAGGTCATCAGGTCTTCCTCCCGCAAGTTGCAAGTCAAGTCGCGAGTCGATGGGTAGGTCTGAATCCACTGACCTTTCTGTTACAGTTGAGAGCTTAACCATTGTTCCACCAGGGCTCTTAAGTAAGAAAAACCTCCTGGTATTTTGATTGTGATTGTACTGACTCTCTAAATCACTTTGGGGAATATTGACAGTTTGATACTATCCAGTTTTCCAAATCATGACATGATACATGGTTTCATTTATTTAAGTCTTCTTAAGTAAATTTTTTTTTATTTTAATTTGGGTGAATGTTTACAAATAGAGAAGAAGCTGTGGTGGAACAGTGGCTAAAACATTTGACTGCTAACCAGAAGGTTAGCGGTTCAAACACATGAGTCGCTCCTCGGAGGGAAGATGAGACAATCTACTTCCGTAAAGATTAGCAGTGTTAGAAAACCAGTGGGGTTGCTATGAGTCGGAATCAACTTGATGGCAGTGGGTTTTTAAAGGCAGAGAGCAAATTGGTTTTCCATTCGACAATCTATAGACATTCTGTTTCGTGACATTTTACTGCAATCCCAAGCTGTAATCTTGCTTCTTCCCTCTGTCTATCCCTTCCTTGTGTCCTCCCTTCCATCCCCTCCCACCTTCCTGACTCTATCCCTGAGCAAACGCTATCCTCCTGATCTCATATGCTTGGTTGTTCTAATGCGTGCATACCCTCCTGATACTACTGTTCGCCTTATAGGCCTATCGTGTGGCTGACACTTGAGTCACAGGGGTTAAGTTTACTTCCTAACTTGAAGGTATCTAAGGGCCATAGTCCCAAGGGTTCCACTAGTCTTCATCAGATCAATTAGTGGTTTA